CTCTGTGCCTCCCATGTTTGTGTACCTGCCCATTTGCTTGGTCTCTCTCTCTCTTTCTCTCTCAAAATAATTTTTTAATTCAAAAAAGAAAAATAAAAAAAGAAAAGCAATAATCCATCTGTACTTCACCATTTTTGTAGAGCCAGCTGAGTAGACTGTGATAGCCTTAGGAGTTGAGGGCTGAGAGACTGCCCAGTATGTTTCCCTCAACCCCATATTCTGATAATAGATTATATTATCTGACTGAGACAAGGTTGATTAGCCAGTTTCTCATCCCCCTAATACAATGATTGGCTCAGGGATGAGCATGGGACTCAGACAGGACCATTTAGATGGTTTAGCTTGGTATGTATCTATGTTGAGAGAGAGAGAGATGTTGTCTTTGCACTTGGTTTATAGCTATGACAGTGATTGCCTAGAGCAGCTAGAGGTCATCTTCCCAGATGCACTGAGAAACCACAGCTCAAGTCCAAGCAGTTCCAGGAGGCGCCACCTTAGACATCTCTGAGGTCTTGTGACCTCACAGTCCCACCTGAGATTTTATCTTTTTTCAGAATCTATTTCTTAGTTTGAGACCTTTTGCCATATAGAAAGGCTGGGAATGAGAAACAATTTTATTTTCAAACCCAGTGAGTACTGGCTCCATTATATTTCTTTTAACTTTCATTTGAAAACCGAACTGGTCCTTTTTGGTCCATCTCTTCTCTCACATTGTAGCAGAAGCTACTTGAACACTATCTGGAAAAATCCTTAGCAGGATCATTGAGTTCATTACTTAGATAACAGTGTGGTCAAACTTACCACCATCATATAACAAGGGTCTCTCTTCTCCAGCTTCTAATTAACATTTTCCTCCCTTTCCTATAAACTCTCACTAATAACCTCCTAAGACCTGCAGACTTTCACTAACACTCTCCTCTAGGTCCTCTGAGGTCCCAAAAAGGCAACACCACATATTTTAGGGTTTGTTACATCAATTTGTCACTTCCACAGTCTAAAACTTATATACATTGCTGCATAACAAAGAGACACAAAACTTAGTTGGTTAAAACAACAACAATCATTTATTTAGCTGAAATCTACAATTTTGGCAGGACTCAACAGAGAAGGGTGTCTCTGCTCCATACTGCATTGGCTGTGGTGGCTTGATTGGAGGATCTGCTTCCAAGATGGCTCACTCATATGGCTGGCAATTTGGCAGTGACTGTTGGCTGGAGCTTAGACAGGGCTATGGGTTACGACCTCAGTTTCTGTCCATATGAGTCTTTCCACACAGACTGGTTTCCAAGACTGAGCATCGCTAAAGAACTGGCTGGAAACTGCATCACCTTTTATGATCTATGGAAATCACATTGTTTTACTTCCACCCTAAGCATAGGCCTGCTCAGATTCAAAATGAGAGAGTAGAGACCCACCTCTCTATGTGAGGAATGTCATGATTACGTTGTAAGGAGAGCATGTAGGACAGGAGATGGGGCCAGCTTGGAAAATACAATGTGTCACATATTAGATAAAAAATCAGAGTGTATTGTCATCTCTTTATATTTCAGGTCATCATATCAACCTTAATAGCATTCTGCCTGCTTCAGCTCAGCCTAGAGCAGTTGTTATCAAAGGCTGGACTATAGACCAGTGGTGATTCATGACAAAAGTTCCATCATACATGGAAAAATGAGAAAATATAAAAGCTTAATTTATTCAATTTAAAGGACAGAACCTAACAATGAAATCATGCCTTCCCTTCTTTTCTGGTGTTAAAATGTCTTTTCTTTTATTAAATAATAGTGATAGCAGATAGTAATTGTTTTCTTAATGATGTCATATTAATCTCCTCCATTTTTTCACATTTATCCAATAAAACTACAGAAGTCTCAGGAACCACTGTCTAGAGTTTATCATAGCACTGGATTTAGCTTGTGCTTCACTCCTTTCCAAATAACTTATTTTACTAGTATGCACACTGAAATTGTAATTACTCTATGAGTGTTCAGAAGAAGTCCTGCACCTACCTGTGTAGCAGTTCAAACTCAAAGCATTTGGGCATTTTAACTCTCCTATGAATAAATGTATAATTCAATGCAACAATAGATCATAAGAAGTACTATACCTCTCTAAACTCAGATGTTCACATCAATGGGATCTTTGACATGAGATCCAGGAATACCTTGGTAATCACCGGGTTCACATGCCTAGAAAGTAGTACAGCATCCAAGGTGAAGGTCAAAAAACAGAGGAGGAACTAGATACAGGGTCATGATGTTGTATGTGCATGGAGCTGGTCTTCTGGAAGAGCAGGAGTTCAAATAGGGCACAAGCACAAAGAAGATAATGGAGAGAAGCGTTCAGGGCTCATTTTTAGAAAGGCAAATAAGCTCTATAAATGAATGAAGACTAGTGACCTCTATGAATAGCACCAAAAGAGAATTCATTCAACTGTTATTTACTAACTTACTATCTTATGGGCTCTTGAGGTATGAAGAAAAACATGACAAAGCCCCTACCCTCAAAAAGCTCACAATTCACATGGGAAGAAAAATATGGGAACAATTAAATAGAATATATACGTGGCTGTTAGCACGACAGATATCCAGAGAAGGAGGGATTAGTTCTTCCTTACACTGGGGATAGAGAAGGTCATAGGGTAAAGAATTATAGACTGCTTGCCAAAGGTCAGAATAGGCTTTTTTTTTTTCAGCTTTATTGAGGCATAACTGACATATAAACTTGTAAGATAGGACTGACTTCTGAGAAGTTTCCATTGCTGGAGGCAAGATGAAGATTAGGAGTTGGTGTCTTATTCAGGCTGCTGTAGCAAAAGACCCTAGCTGGCCACTTTATAAACAACAAACATTTATTTTCTACAGTTCTGGAGGCTGGGAAGTCCAACATTATGGTACCAGATGATTCAGTGTCTGGTGAGAGCCTACCTCCTACATGGCTCATTGTGCTGTAACCTCACATGGGTGCTAAGGATAAGAAAACCGTCTGGCGGTCATTTATAAGAACCTAATCTCATTCACAAGGGCTCTGTCCTCATGACCTAATCACCTCTGAAAGGTTCCACTGCCTAAAAATATAATTTTGAGCATTAGATTTTAACATGTGAATTATCAGGGGGGTGGGGGAGGGATGTGGCATACAATACATTCAGACCATAGCAGCTGGTGAAGGAGTTAGAAGACCAGTAAAGGAACCACAATGACATAAGGGTGCCAGTCAAGGAGTTTTAAGAAGAAGGCGTTACTACATACATCAGAAGCTTCAAGTAGTTGGAAGATAAGGGCTAAAAGGCGAATGAAGGAGACAGGGGTTTATTTTATATGCAGGGCTTCCAGAACTGTCTCAGTTGTATCTACGAATCTTTGAAGTAAGATTCAGGAATCGTCCCCCTAATCACCAGGACCACATGCCTGGAAAGTACGTGACATTCAAGATCAAGGGTCAGAAAATACAGCAGAAACAATAAAAACGGCAACTAGCCTTGTCCCAAATTACTATAGTGCTTAAAGGTAATGGACCTCTCACAAAATAGGTAGTAAGAGAGCGGAGCCCACACAGACAGACCTCCTTCCTGTAGACCCCCGCAAACAGTCACTGGGTCTCCCAGAGGGGAGTGAGAGTTATTGCCGTATTCTTGTGCGTAAGGCAACTGAAATGGAATTGCTCATGCATGAAAAAGATCTCAAAACTTAAAAGTCTGTGACACAAATTTAAAAGTGTTATTTCAGGGCACCTGGGTGGCTCAGTTGGTTGGGCGGCTGACTTTGGCTCAGGTCATGATCTCACAGTCCATGTGTTCTGTACTGACAACTAGCTCAGAGCCTGGAGCCTGTTTCAGATTCTGTATCTCTCTCTCTCTCTCTGACCCTTCCCTGCTCACACTGTCTCTCGCTCTCTCAGAAATAAATAAAACATTAAAAAAAATTTTTTTAAGTATTATCTTAAAACTGCACTTGAGAAAGTGTCAACTGATGAGCAATTACTGAATTGCTTTTTTCTTTTCCATCCCCTCTATAATGAAAACCTAGCTTTCAGGGTAGGACAAAAAAGAAGAGGTCTTAAGAACAACACATAAATGTGGGTTGCTTTTTTAACATGTTGTTTCCATAAAAACTTTCAGGAAAATCATAGTGGTAGAAGGTTTGGGGGTTTTTAGATAAACTAAAAAAAATAAGAATTTGAAATCACTAATATGAAACCCAAACCAATACTGATACTTAAAACATAAAAGACATAGAACAGAAGGAAAGATAGCATGGAGTCCAGTTAAAATATCTATATTGCCAAACCTAGTGAATAAGCGAAATCTAACCATATGTGTGTGGAGAGAGAGAGGAAGAGGAAGGTAAAGAAATGAGTAGGTTTTACCAAAAGACTAAATCCCACCCCACAGGTAAATTTTAATTTGGACATAAAAAGTAATAGTTGTAGGGGTGCCTGGGTGGCTCAGTTGGTTAAGCATCTGACTTTATACTCTCCCAGTTTGTGAGTTCGAGTCCCATGTTGGGCTCTGTGCTGACACTCAGAGCCTGGAGCCTACTTCAGATTCTGTGTCTCCCTCTCTCTGCCCCTCTCCCACTTGCACTCTGCCTATCTCTTTCTCTCTGTCAAAAATAAATAAACATTTTAAAAAAACCCTGAAAATAAAAAAAGTAATAGTTGTATAAGAAGAGGACTCTGAGGGGCACCTTGGTGGCTCAGTCAGTTAAGTGTCCGACCCTTGATTTCAGCTCAGGTCATGGTCTCACAGTTGGTGGAATTGAGCCTTGTGTAGGCCACGGAGCCTGCTTGGGATTGGGGTTCTCTCTCTCCCTCTCTCTCTGTCACTCTCCTCCCCTGCTTGTGTGCTCTCTCTCTCAAAATAAATAAATAAACCCTATAATAAAAAGAAGAAGACGACGACCCTGAGCCAAACCATTCTTAATCTTTCCTCGCTCAATGATGTCTTCCTATAGCTTTTCTTTCGAAAGAGGGAGAACAAATTTTTTTTCTGGAAATATCTTTTTAATATCTTTTTAATAGAGTTCCTCAGTTGAATGTAAATTTCCTGCCTCAATTACACAGAAAATTTTTAGATACTCTGTATAGCCCTTAGAGCTTCCAGAGAGCTTTTGTGAGTGATTCGCACCCACATGCTGTCTGGAAGTAGCATGTGGAATTCACACAGAGCTGCACTTGGAGCAGAGGCAAGACCGGAGCATCTGCACTTATGCATGCTGAATAGGACAAAACAAAAAAAGGGTGATTCATACTTAAACATTTTTATAAAGCCCTATATCTATTTTCTTAACTTCAACTGGTATGAATAAGTTTGCTTTTATAAATACTAGAAGGAAGTGTGGCATTTTATAAAATATATATTCAGTAGAAGGTAAGATCTTGACTTCTTTTCTGACCATGGCTTAGACTACAGATTTGGCACTTTTCACTTGACCTGAAAGGAAGCAGATTTTAAAATTACATTTAATTAATATAAATTGTAATATAAAACAAAAATGAAGCCCATTGTTAAAATAATTGCCATGAAATAAATATGTCCCAGTCCAAACCAGTCATTAATTAAGCCTTGGTGTTGGTATATCAATTCAAGTATTCTCCTCTTTTTTTTTTAATTTAAAGGTATAAGGTCACATTTCTCATATAATCGGTATTACTGTTCCTAATTCTGCCATCGAATAGAATAACTGAATAAACCGCTTAACCTCAACAGTCTTCACTTTCCTCCTTGTAACATGAGGAGGTCATTTGAGAGGTCCCATCAAGACTTAACACTTCCATCATGTGAAGGTATAAGATACTGAGGTGCTTGGAGGGGATATAGAAGATCGGGGGTGGGGGTGGGGAGAGCTGATTCTTCCTAAGCGATGAGAAGGAAGGAGGGAGAGGTGATGCCCAGGCTAATGGCAGTGGTAGAACAGGGGGAAAGGGTGAGAACCAGATTGTACCACAATGACTCAGGCCTTAGTCATCTCACTGCTGGACTATAGTGGTTTCACTCTCTCCAGTCTCTCCTTCACCCATTTTATAAGGAAAGCCATATTATTCTCTCCTACTTAATCCTTCTCTGCTTCCCCCAAAGCATTTAATGACAGCCCTCTGCCCTGGATAAAGACCAAATTTCTAAGCTTATAAATTCAGTACTTTTAATGAAATGAGCATAAGTTAACTTTCCAACCTTATTTTTCACTGTTCCTCACAGACTCAACTACAATTAGCCAGATAGATCCTGGCCACTTCCCCATTCCCACCTTTGAGCCTTTCGTCATCTTATTGTGCCTTCATTCCAGAACTCCCCTCATATTCCATCCTGGCTACCCGTCCTTTCAAGCGATTCCTCTTTCTTCATGATACTTCCTCCTAATAGTTAGGCTTCTCGGAACATACAAAGCACTGAGTTTATCTTTTCTGGTTTATATGTTTACTCACCAACTGGGTGGTGGGCTCCTTAAGGACAAGGACAGTGTAAAGCATCTGTCTCCCTTCAGGGGACCTAGGAATGTGCTATCTATGCCTGTGCTCAATAGATGTCTGGTAAAGATGGCAAAGGATATTCTGCCATACTACCTAGATTAGATTGTCTTAACATTTAAAAAACCATAGTCCCTTTTGATTAAAAAAAAAAAATCTTACATACTCAATATCCACATTCAAAAGAATGAGTTCACATCATACACAAAAAAATAACTCAAAATGGACCATAGAACTAAATGAAAAAAGATAAAATTACAAAAGTCTTACAAAAAAACCTGTAAGAGTGAGTCTTGGTGATCTTGGGTTAGGCAATGTTTGTTACATATGACACTGAACGCACAGGCAGCAAAAGGGAAAATAAGGTAAACTAGACTTCAAACTTAAAGGCTTGAGGCTTTTGCCTCAAAGGACACAATTATGAAAATAAAAAGATAACATACAGAATGGGAGAAAATATTGGCAAATCATATATCAGATAAGGGAACTGAATTCAAAATACATAATGAACTCCTACAAGTCAACAAGAAAGACAACCCAATTTAAAAATGGGCAAAGGAGTGGTGACTGGGTGGCTCAGTCAGTTAAGCATCCGACTTCAGCTCAGGTCATGACCTCATGACTTGTGAGTTCAAGCCCCATGTTGGGCTCTGTACTGACAGCTCAGAGCCTGGAGCCTGCTTCAGATTCTTTGTCTCCCCCTCTCTCTGCTCCTTCTCCTGCTTGTGCTCTGTCTTTCTCTCTCTCAAAAAATAAAAACTAAAATAATTTTTTAAACAGGCAAAGGATTAAAATAGACACATCCCCAAAGAAAATATACAAATAGCCAGTAAGCACATGAAAAGATGTTTAACATGATGAATAATTAAGGAAATGTAAATCAGATCTACAGTAAGATATTACTTCACACCCACTAGGATGGCTAAAGTTCTTTTTAAAAGACAATAATAAATGTTGATAATGATGTGGAAATTGGAATCTTCATGTACACTGTTTATTGGAAATGTTCTGCAGTTCCTTAAATGATGAGGCACAGAGTTACCATATGGCCCAGCAATTCTCCCAAGAGAAATGAAAACATGCAGTCACACAAATTTGTACACAAAAGTTCACAGAAGCACTACTTACAAGAGTCAAAAGCATGGAAACTCAACTACTGAATGGGTATGTTTGAATCCATACAAGAATATTATTCAGAACAAAGAGGAATACGGAAGTATGTTACAACATGTATGGACCTTGAAAACATGAGAAATGAAAGCAGCCAGACACAAAATGGCACAGATTGTATGATTCTATCCATGAAATGTCCACAACAGGCAAATCTTTAGAAATACAAAAGATAAATGGTTGTAGGAGTCTTGTGGGAGGGAGGGTTGGGGGTGATTGCCAATGGGTATGGTATTTCTTTTTGGGTTGTTTATGTTCTAAAATTAGATGGCGGTGATGATTATATAACTGAATATATTGAAAATCCCTGGATTGTATATTTTTAAATGGTGAATTTTATACTGTAAGAATTAAATCTCAATAAAACTGATATTTAAAAAATTCTTAGGTATGCCTGCCATCAAGTGCAGCTTCCCCATTGACAGGAGACTGTACCCACAGTAAGCTTTTCAAAGCACAGTTATAATACTGAAAGTGCTTTCCAAATTTTGCCATTCTACCTCCTAGAAGGATATGCTTTTCTAATTTAAAATCAAAGGTACAATAAATTATATAAAATTAATAAATAATGGTAACAATATTAAGATTAATATTAGACATTCTCTACAGAAATTATTGTTATTATCAATATTGAAACTAATAGTAAATCTAGGGAGTTGTATCACACTTGTATCATGAGCTTGTAAAAGGTTAATGAAGATTGTTAAAATCAGAAGATTGTTAATCCCAGAAATAACACTGAACTAATATTCATCTTTTCTGACATTCAAACCATTTTTATCCCAAACTTACGTGGTGTTGCCATTTTTGTGAAGATAGGAGTCACAATATCTTCCAATTGTTGTTTCTGCTCTAAAAGCTCGCTAATGGTGGCTTCCAAATGGGTTTCCAACCACTCATTTTTAATACGGCATTCACTGAGGATGGTATTCTACAGATAGAAACAGAGAATTTACTTTCCACTTGTTTATTGAAAAATAAAACTCTATAGGATCTCTGAACTAGCACTGTGCAATAGAACTTTCTGTGATGGTAGACATGCTCTATCTGCATCATCCAATAGTCACCATTTGACATTTACATCCATTGAGTCCTAGAAAAGGGACAGGTGTGACTGAGGAACTCTATTTAATTTTAATTAATACTAACTTAAAATAGCTACATTTGGCTAGTGGCTGCTATATTGGACAGTGCAGCTCTAACATTAGTGGAATGTTGCTTAAAATAAAACTCGTAGTTTACAGTCCTGAAGCTGTGGGTCAGTGTACACCCTCTCCCTAATTATTTTCATTGAGTCCTGTGATAAAAAGATGTGTTTGCAAAGTTTGGAGAAGAATAGATGGATGTTATGAACTGGATGCAACTCAACAGGCATATTATTCTCCCTCGGAGGGTTCAGAGGAGAGGAAGTACCAGAAATGCAAGAAGAGCTCCACCTTGCTGAAAATGTCTCAATTTGCATCAAAGCTATCTCAGCACACACACAGCAAACTGAGAGTGTCTGATTTGAGTTTATTGTTCTATGATTCATAATAAGAGAAAAGAATGCATTTCTTGCATGTCCTGTTCCTATTATTAAATAAATAGTAGTGTACGCAGACATATGTGGAATCAAATGCATTTGGAAGGATGTCCATAAGCAAATTAAGGATAAATATGTAGTTTAAAAAAATTTAATATGTATAGTGTAACTCCAATCATATAAAAAAACAAAATCTTATAAAACTATATGTGTGAATACGTATGTTTATATAACTGAAATGGTGAAATTTGTATGGTGAAATTAACAGGAGATTGTTACTGGAACCCCAGGGCAGTAAGACTGGAAATGGAAGAAAGAAAGCTATTAAGTTTTCTTTAGGCATTTCAATTTTATTCTAGTTATTACTATATGTACATAATATTTTCTAGTTCAAATAACCAAACATTTAAAAATTGAAATTTAAAAAAGTTTTTATAGTAACTAGTTGAACAGAGTACTGTCTGTGCCCAGAAATTTTTCTTTCCTAGATTTAATAGCTGCAATAGCTATCCTAACAGAATTTTGTCTATATTTTGTTGGTTTCATAAGAGATATTGTAAAGTGTTTTACAAACCATAAGTGAAATGTGTAACTTATCATGTTCTCAGGCTTGGGGATGTCTTAACACTTTTAGCAATAGCTAATTCTTTTTCATCAGAATTAGAAGTCACAGGGAATTCACAGAACATCCTGCACAGAAATACAAGAGATAATTTAAAATCAAACCACATTTCGAGTACCTGGAGCATATCTTACATCCAAAGCAATAAATTAGTTCACATGTAATGCTTAGTATATGGTAAATGTGGCAAGCTGGCTTTATAATTAGCTGTCTTTATATTTTTGTCTTTTTTTACCATCATGTAAAATATGATGCATTTAATGAATATGTAATGTAGATATACATAGATACTGAAATATGATGTATATATAGGTTTTAAAGCAAAACTTAATGAAATAAATATCAGTGGACCTCATTATTGAACAGAATAGCCAGAACATTGCCGGTACTATTAACACTATTTTCTGTGCTTCTCTCCTAATTCATCCTCTTGCCCTCCTCCAATGGATAATCACAATCTGTGTTTATAATTTTTCTTTTCTTTTTTAATAGTTTTACTCCACAGGTAGGTATCTCTAGACAATATAGTTTCATTTTGCTTGGTTTTGAGCTTTATGAAAATCTCTACAGTCTTTGGTGATTTTTTATCAACTTCAACAATACGTTTCAAAAATGTATCTATGTTTTTGGGTATAATACTCAGTACATGCATCTCTATGTCACTCTTAAATATTATTTCATTTAATTTTTATCATTCTATCTCTTATCAGTAGTTTACTAAGGGAGGGGGGAAGGAAGGAATCAGGGTAGGTAAGAGGGAAGGAGGAAGGGAGGGAGGGAGAAAGACAGCAGTAAGGACCACCACCTACCTCTATAGCATTAGTATAAGAAACTAAAGATATAAGGCAAAAATCTCAAAAGACATCTGAACAAACAGTAGTCACAACGCAGTACCTTGTCTTCCTTCAAGAGCTTCCCTTGTCCCTTTTCTGTGTCTGTAACAGCTGCAGAGATCTTTGCAATATACTTTTTCAGAGCCAGCCTTGCATCTGAAGAAATAGGACAATAAATAGCACAATAATAAGACAAAGACTAAAAATATCCTCAACTATTTACACTATACTATTATACATCCAGAGTTTATAAAGACTGCATGTAGGAGATTTGTTGAGGTTACTTTCGTTGAATTTCAAGATAGATAATACTCAACTAGCACAGGGCTTTGGGACACACTGTGTTCCTAAAATCATAGCTAAAATTTTGAAGACAAATAAACATGTGACACTTAATCCCAATGAGATCGTGTGCCATTAAAATATCTCCTTAAAACATCTACTCTGGAGGGGCACATGGGTGGCTCAGTTGGTTGAGTATCCAACTCTTGATTTTGGCTCAGGTCATGATCCCAGGGCCATGGGATCAAGCCCGCTGTCATGCTCCACACTAAGCATGGAGCCTGCTTAAGATTCTCTCTCTTTCCCTCTCTCCCCCTTTCCCTCACTCTCTCCCTCAATAAAAAAATAAATAAATAAATAAAAATAATCTACTCTGGAGAAAGGAACAAAAACTCATTTCCAATAGAAAAACTGTTACTTGCTTTACCCTTTATGATCCTTCAAAATAAATTCCAAAATATTTTTTTAAGAAAGCTTTCTTTTAAAAGAAATTTTTTAAGAAATATCTTCTTTTAAAAGAAAAATATTTAAAATAATTCCATTCACTATAGCACCCACAGTAATGTCATCACAAAATCTGCAAGACTTGTTCGAATAAAATTACATTTGAGAGAAATAAAAAATTCAAATAAATGAAAAGGCTTACCATATTCCTAGATGAAACTGAATATTGCAAATTGTAAGTAAGCTCTAAATTAATTTGAAGGTTGATGTATTTGTTCCCTGTGGCTGCTATAACAAATTGCCACAAATTTTGGTGGCTTAAGACAACAAAAATTTGGGGCGCCTGGGTGGCGCCCCAGTTCTAGAGGCCAGAAGACTGAAATTGGTATCAATGGACTAAAGTCAAGCTGTTGGCAAGGCTGAATCCTTCAGAGGGCCTTAAGGGGAAAACCCATTTTCCTGCCTGTTTCAACTGCTAGTGGTGGCCTGTATCCTTGACTGGTAGGGGGCTCCTTCTTCTATCTTCAAACTACAATAGGTCTCACCTGGATAATCCATAATAATCTCCCTGTCTCAAGATCCTTAACTGAAGGATCTACAAAATCCCTTTTGCCATATGAAGTAACATTCATAGGATCCAGGGATAATGACCTAGATATCTTAGGTAGCCACTTTTAACTCATCACAGCCTGCCCTAAAGTTCACATCTATCCCACTTGCAAAATACAATTACTCCATCCCAACATCCAAAAGTCTCAACCCATGACAACATCAACCCATGTCCAAATGCTCATTCAAAATATCATCAGTTCAAAAGTCTCAAATTTCATCATCTAAATCATTTAAACAAGCTATGGGTGAAACTTTGGTGTTATCCATCATCTTGGATGATGTAGATTCCTCTCCATCTACAGACTTGTGAAACTAGAAAATAAGTTCTCTACTTCCAAAATATAATGGTAACAGTTGTAGACACTGCCTTTCATAAAAGGAGAAAGTGGAAGGAAAACAGGAGTCACCAGTCCCAGGTGATTTTAGGATCCCACAAGGCATTTCCTATTTGGTGTCAAGACCTAGGATGAATTCTCTGTGCCACAAGGCTCCATCCTCTTGGCCTGTGGCTCCAGCCCAAGTCATCCTTTTTGAGGACAGGTAGCATGTGTTTACAGATGAATAATCTCATCAGTCCATTTCCTGTCTGTAGGGTTTGGGGAATCCAGTAGCCTTTTTCCTTTTTGTTTTCTCTATGTCCCTTTGTTCAAACTGACAACATAATATTCTCAAAAACGTTGTGAGTCTCCTTGCAGGTCACAGAGACTCATTCCATTAAACAAGAGGCTCCTCCACAGGTCTTCATTGGATAATTTCATTTCATTTCTGACTTCTGCCAAAATGGCTGAGGGGAGCCATGAGTAATACACTCAATCTTCTCAGCACCCACAAAACACTGTCCAGCCACATCCTTGCTTTTTCTACAAAGCATGCTTTCCTGACAATGGATCTTCTAATTTTAGCACTTTTGCTACCTGGATAGGCTGAGAATTTCCCAAATAATCAAGTCCTCTTTCCTTTTCAACATAACAGTTGTTTTTCCTCAATTTATCATTCCCCTCTCACATTTTACTGCAAGCAACAAGAAGAAACCAGGCCATGCCTTCAACACTTTGCTTGGAAATCTCTTCAGCTACATATCCATGTTCCCCACTTACAGGTTTTGCTTTCCATATATGGACAGGACACAATTCTGTCAAGCTTTCAGCCATGGTGCCCTTCCTCCAGTATCCAATAACATGCTCATTTCCTTCTGAGCCCTCTCCATCAGCAACTCTAATGTGTTTCTACCAATAATCTGCTGAAGACAACCTAGGTTTTTCCTATTCTACACCTCAAAACTCCTCCATCTACTTATTACCCAAGTCCAAAGCCACTTCTACATTTTTGAGTACTTGTTACAGCTGTGCCTCACTTCCAGGCACCAAAATCTGTATTGGTTCCCTATGGCTGTTCTAACAAATTATCACAGACTTGATGGATTAAAACACTAATTTGTTCTATTACAGTTCCAGATGCCAGAAGTCTGAAATTGGTATCACTGGACTAAAGTCAGGCATGGGCAGGGTTGATTCCTTCTGGAGGCCTGAGGGAAAAACTATTCCTTGCCTTTTTCACCTTCTAGCAATTCTATTTCCCTCAGATTGTGGCTCCTCCCAACACCTTCAAAGTGCATCCACCAATCTCTGCTTCTAGCATCACTTCACCTTTTCCTCTTCATGTCAAACATCTACTTCCCTCTTATAAGGACACTTGTGATTATTTTTAGGGTCCATCAGGAGAATCCCAGATAATGTCTCAATCTCAAAACCCTTAATCATATCTGCAAAGTCCATTTTGCCCTATAATATTCATAGCTTCCAGTGATTAGGACCAGGATATCTTTTGGGGCCATTATCCAGTCTACCATGATCAGTATACAATCTCATGAAACTCCACATATGAGTTTTTGAGAGACTTTTAAAAATCACTGTACACAAGAAAATGGCAGCAGAGTAGGACGACCCTAGGCTCACCTCATCCCATAAACCCAACTAGACAACTGTCAAATCATCCCAAATACTCCAGAAATGAACCTGAAGACTAACAGAACAAATTCCACAACTAAAGGGTGAGAGGAGGCCATATTGAAGAAGAAGGAGGAGGAGGAGGAGCAGGAAGAGGAGGAGGCAGAGACTTAGACAAAATGCCAAGACAAAGGAATTCATCCCAAATGAAAGAACAAGATAAGATCACAGCCAGCGATCTAATCAAAACGATATAAGTAACATGCCTGACCGAGAACTTAAAGCAACAGTCATAAGGATATTCATAGGGCTGAAGAAAAGAATGGAAGACCTCAGGGAGACCATTACCACAGAGATAAGAATTAAAAAGAATCAGTCAGAGGGGTGCTTGGCTGGCTCAGTCAGTTAAGCATCAGATTCTTGGTTTCAGCTCAGGTCATGATCTCATGAATTCAAGTCCTGCATTGGGCTCCACACTAACAGTGCAGAGTCTGCTTGAAATTCTTCCCCACCAACCCCTCCCCCCTCTTTGCTGCTGGCCCCTCTTGCTCTCTTGGTCTCTCAAAACAATAAATAAATAAACTCTAAAAATTTTTTTAAATGAATCAGAAATGAAAAATGCAATAATTGAGATTGAAAACAGGCTTGATACAATGAACACAGCTGGAAGAAGCAGAGAAATGTAAGTGATATAGATGATAAAATAATGAAAAATAAGGAAGCTGAACAAAAGAGAGAAAGGAGAATTAAGGAACATGAGAAAAATTAGGGAACTCAGTGACTCTATCAAAAGTAATAACATTCATATTATAGGAGTCTCAGAAGAAGAAGAGAGAAAAGAGGACAGAAAATTTATTTGAAGAAAGAATACCTGAAAACTTCCCTAATCTGGGGAAGGAAACAAACCTCCAGGAGGCACAGATAATTCCCATCAAAATCAACAAAAGCAGGCCAACATCAAGACATATTGTAATTAAATTTGCAAAATACAATGATAAATAAAAATCTTAAATGTAGCAAGACAAAAGAAGTCTTTACCTTACAACTGAAGATCCATAAGGCTAGCTGCAGATTTATCAAAAGTAACATGGCAGGCCAGAAGGGAATCACATAATGTATTCAAGTGCTGAATGGGGAAAAAATCTGCAACCAAGAATACTCTCTCCAGAAGGCTATCATTCAGAATAGAAAAAGAGATACAAGTTTCCCACACAAACAAAAACTAAGAGTTCGTGACCACTAAACCAGCCCTGCTGCTTAAAGGGGACTCTGAGAAAACAAGTCCAAAGGTGACAAAGAAAGGAACAGAGAAAACATCCAGAAACAATGACAAAACAAGTTAAAAGAAAACTGGCACTAAATATGTATCTATCAATAATGAGTCTGAATGTAAATGGACTAAATGCTCCAATCAAAACACAGTGTCAAAATGAATAAAAAAAAAAAAAAAAGATCCATCTATATACTGCCTGCAAGAGACTCATTTTATTTTATTTTTTTTAGTTTATTGTCAAGTTGGTTTCCATATAACACCCAGTGCTCATCCCAATAAGTGCCCTCCCTCATTCCCATCACCCCCTTTCCCCTTACCCCCACCCCCATCAGCCCTCAGTTTGTTCTTAGCATTCAAGAGTCTCTCATGGTTTGCCTCCTCTTCTTCTCCCTCATGGTCCTCCATTAGCTTCCTCCTAATCCACCTATATGTGCAAACATATGGTATCTGTCCTTCTCTGCCTGACTTATTTCTCTCAGCATAACACCCTCTAGTTCCATCCATGTTGCTACACATGGCCAGATTTCATTCTTTCTCATTGCCATGTAGTATTCCATTGTATAAATATACCACATCTTCTTGATCCATTCGTCAGTTGA